AGGAAATTAGTGTTTGGTTAGATTTGGACTAAACTATTTCCTTGTTAGTTATGGCTTTTCCTTTTTAGTTTTGGCTTTGGTTTTGATTTCCTTATTAATCACTACAACAAAAGTAACCTATGGTGACGAAAAGTAGTGAAGAAAATAAATTTCGTCACTAAATAAGAATAATTCGTGACGAATTACAAAATTTTGTCACATATAATAGAAAAATAAAAATAATAGGTGACGAAATTTATTTTCGTCAACAAATACTTCTTTTTAGGTGAGGAAAAAAAAAGTTTCGTCACCGAAAGTTTTCCGCTAATTTTTTTTTGGTGGCGCCAAAATTTTGAGACTTTTGGTGAGGAAAAAAATTTGTCACCAATTATAAAATTATTGGTGAGAAATATATTTTCGTCACCAATAATTTTACATATATATATTTTTTGAGAAGCTTGATTTTAAATATTTTAAGACCATTTGGTGAGAAATATATTTTTATCACTGATAATTTTTAATATTTTGAGGCTTTTTAGTGAGTAAATTATTTTGTCACTAATTTTGGAAGGAAAATTTTGACATATTAGGCGGTAATGAAAAAAATAGACTACTAACTTCCCCCTCCCCTTTTTATTGTTTATCAATTTTCCTTTCTCCTTTTTTCTCTCTCTTTCACTCTCAAAACAAAACACAAGTTAATTACTTCTTTAAGTAACCTATGGTAACGAAAATAGTGAAGAAAATAAATTTCGTCACTAAATAAGAATAATCCACGACGAATTATAAAATTTTGTTATATATAATAAAAAAGTAAAAATAATAGGGGACGAAATTTATTTTCGTCAATAAATACTTCTTTTTAGGTGAGGAAAAATTAAATTTCGTCACTAAAGGTTTTTCCTCTAATCTTTTTAGTGAGAAATATATTTTTGTCACCAATAATTTTAAATATTTTTTTTTGAAAAAATTGATTTTAAATATTTTGAAACTATTTGATGAAGAATATATTTTTGTCGTCAATTATTTTAACATTTTAAAATTTTTGGGGAGAAAATTATTTTATCACCAATTTTGGAGGGAGAACTTTGTGATATTGGCGGTGATGAAAAAAATATATATATCCTACTAGTTCCCCCTTCTTTTTTTTTTTTTTGGTGCTTCAGTTTTCCTCTCATCCCTCTCTTGCAAAACATACGTTCTCTGTCTTCAGCCCCCCTTCTTCTCCTTTAGCGCTGCCACCAACGTCATCCGTTCTCCTCCTTCAGTGCCGCCACCAATGTCACCCGCGTTCTCCTCCGAGCAATCGTCAGTGCCGTCGGCGTTGCTTATTCGATTATTTCTCTATTTTTCTCTTTTCAGGTATAGATCCTCTCTCTCTCTCTCCCTCCCTCACTCGATTTCTCTATTTTTCAATCTTTATTTTTCCTAATTTTCAAAACTAATTTCATTGTTTTTCCTAATTTTGAAAACTACTCAGACACATAGTGTCCCATATATTATTTTTTTCAGACTAGCTATGAAAAAATGAGTACTTGAATATAGACTTGTTAAGTTAATAACTCGTTCATGTTATTTGCTTTATATGCACTTAACAGAAAATATTAAATGTAACAGATTTATTAAAAAAATAAAGATTAAGGGCACATATAAATTCTAGATAAATGTATTTTATGTACCTCAATTAGGGATTGCCAATATATTTAAATGTATTTTATATACCTCCATTAGGGATTGCCAATAATTATTGAAGCCATGAATATGGATTTTTCGCTCTTTTCAGTGCTTATCTGAATTCTTATCTGATTTAGATACACTGACTCTTGCCTCTCTGGTTCTAGTGGGTTATAATGATAAAGTAACATAGAGGAAAGAGAGGGACAAGAAATAGGGTTCCAAAATTCGTTGGAAGGGGAAAGGGGCTCTTCAAACCTTGTTCTGATTGACTGCTAATAAACCGAATAGCTGTGGTGATCGAAGGCGAACATGGCGGTCCTGATGCCCTTTCGAGGTTCTTCAAAGCTTTACTACAGTGTCCCAAAACAGAGAGAGGATCACAGCCGAACGATGCACTCAAAATAGAGGGAGGATCAAAATCAATTGTTGTGAGAGGCGAATGGTGCACTCATATCTTCGGCGGCGAGACTAGTTCGACGGTAAGGCACTCATCTCATCTCTCTTCTCTTCCTTTCGCTGTGAGAGGCTGCTGTTGCTGTTGTTATATATATATACTTGAACACTTGACAACAGGCATGAACTCGTACTTAGCGATGCTCGAATCTGGGGCTGCTTCAAAGCTGATAGAACCCCCATTTTTTTTCCTGTTCTGATTGAATTCTTCAAAAGTTGGAAACTTGAATTTGAAAGAGAACTCGGGTGTCTGTTTTTGGTCAAACCCATCCGAAAATTCATTTGTCTTCTTGTTTGGATTCGACCCCTGTATATCCACGGTTGTAACTCTGTTTTTGGCTCAATAGGAATCGAATCTTTAAGACTGTTTTCTGCGGAAGAAACCTTCGATTAGTTTGAGTTGTCCTCTGATGACCTGTCATTTCTTTTGAATCTGCAACAAACAAAATAATCAGAAACAACATAAGATTTTAAAACAAGTAAGATTTTTTTAATTACCATAAAAATAGAAAAAGAAAATTGAAGACTAGAGTTTTGAAATACCTGATAAGTTATCTCTTGAAGAAATCGAAAAGAGAAAAAAAGTAGGTGGAGACAGAGAAGCAGAAAATGCCGACAAAGAGAACAAATTTTTGGTACAAGAACTGGGTATCAGAACCCATATCCACTGAATCGAAATGGGTATACACCACACAATTAAGCATTCACTCACCCATCAAGTTAGTGTCTTATTACTGATGTACTTCAGTTGTTTGTGTGTATATCTGTGCTGATTCAATCTTATACTTGTCTCAGATGCCCTTTCACATGTTATTTGATATTTATTGATGATTTTTGAGTCGGTCCTAATTTTAAAAGCAGTTTTCTTTTGGGCTTTAACTATGACATTGTTTACCTTTGATCTATAGAATGTCCTTGTGTTATGCCAAGCATTTTTCATCTAATAGAATTCCTTTTCTTATGCCAAACAGAAGGAACATGATGACTAAATTGCTGATAGCTTCTGGTGGACAATAGAGATAACTGAATAAAAATGGGAGGCTGTTGCTGCTGCTGTTCTAAAGGAGGGGGACTAAACAGTTCGCCACCATTCTATCATGTTAGTAATATCTCCCTTACACAGGATTCTTTTAATTTTTTGGTATCAACTGATCCTAACCTTTATAGCTTTAGCAGAATTTTGTGCCTAGCATAATCTTGGTTTACGTGGCATAGTTGTTTTGCATATAGGGTGAAACATCATTTTGCTATCTAGAATTTATTCTATTTTTGGATTCAGCTACTTAATGAGATAATAGGGAACTCGAATTTCTTACTTTACTGTCATTTGCCAGTGGTTACTTGTATTGAAGTTAATTATGTGATGCTTTTTTCTCTTTTTAATCAGTAATGGTATAGTTCAGACTTAATTTTATTAGGTTTTGGTGCAGAAACTGCAATTTTGTTTCCTTATGCAAGCTCTTGTCAGCTAGAAGATATGAGGGATCTTTAGTTGCTTTTGAACTTGGGAATTCGAGGCTTTTCCCAAGTTTAGAGTGAGCTAGTTTTGCTATAAACTATTTGAAGAACTTGGTGGACGTGTTCATTCATTTTCCTTTTTCATCGATTGTGTTCTTTTTAATCTTTATTATCTTGGTAGTGCATACATGATTGAAGAGTTGCGATGGTAACAACTCTAGTTGTTTTTTATACCATGACCATATGATGTAGCTGCAAACTGTTCATCATGATCTTTATATCTTAAGTGGCTAGCTTACTGGTTCTAGCAAAGGTTTTCTTGTCATAATGTCATTGCCGCACCATTATTTATTTATTCTTTTAATAATTTGCGGCAAAGGGCTGGTTTGGTTTCCCCTAATGTGTGAGTATGCCAACATAGGTTCTTTGATAATAATAATAAGGTTTACTTACCGTTGTACTAAAAATTAATGTTATGGTAAAAGATTGGCTCTATTAGATTTTGGAAAAAAGTGACTTTCTTGTATGGGGTTCAGAGATTGACTGTTATTCCCGGAAGGTTTTTAATTTTTTACAGAAAAGAAAATAGTGTTTGACATGAATTGATGCTCTCTTTACCTTCTCTCACAATGATGGCTCTGTTATCTTATGGAGAGCTTGTTTCTACTGGACAGGATTTTTAGTGTCATGTTCATTGCCATCTCTATGAAATGGCCAGAATTTAGGTTTTGAATATAATCAATTCATGTTTTGATTGGTGCCTATTAATTAGTTTGTTGGTTCTAGGTAACAAAAGAACAACAATTTAAGCAGAGCTTGTGGTCTTAGTGATAGTAGATTGTTTCTAGTTGTGTTTTATTCTATAATGGGGTTTGAGTCTTTTGAATTTTTATTTTCACTCTCATTATGAGTTGTTCATGGAAATACAATTCTAAAACCCTTGCCATGGTAATTCCTCTAAAACCCTTTGCCATGGTAATTTTAGTCCGAACCTTTGCCATGGTAATTCCTCTAAAACCCTTTTTATGAACACATTTGACTTTTGGAGTCACGGTTCTCTCTCTCTCTCTCTCTAGTGTGGGGAGGGAATCAAAATGACCAGACCCTCAACTTTTCAGAAGTGTGCCTCCCTAATCTACTAGACTACACTATTATGAGTATTAGCTAATAATGGCTTTATAGAGGAACACCATCAATCAGATTTTGCGATATGCAAGCAAGAATCGACTTCCGGAAAGTTTGAAAGAGCAAATGCTGGCAAATATGCAACTGAAATTTAGGACAGCAGAATTACAGCAGGAGGAAGTGCTTGAAGACCTACCTAAGGCAATTAGATCAAGTATTGCTCAGCATCTTTTTCATGGAACTGTGGAAAATGCCTATCTCTTCAAAGGAGTTTCTGAAGACCTTATCGTCCAACTGGTACAATATCTTTTCCCTCTCCTTCACATTACAGATCATGTTGCAATATTATAGTAATTACTCTAGTTTAATAGCAACAAAACAATAACAACAATAAGAATATTATTGACTGAGCACATTGACACTTCAAAATGTGAAGTACCTATTTCACACTCAACATGACATAATAATAGACAAACTATTAGTTATGTGTTCCTTGAAGCCAAGAGAATGTTTGTTAAGAATATATATTGTTGGTAATATATGAATATTCCAAAGTAGGGTGAAGTACCCATGTCAAATACATACATGTTTAGAAAGGGGGAAAAAAAGGGTAAACAATTCCTAGCTCCAGCATTTCATTATGATGTTTCACTAAATTGTTCTTCTGTTCCATGGATACTACCAATACGAGGCTAAAGGCATCCATGTCAAACATAATATGATACAATAACATTTTAGTGTA